TCTCTCTCTCTCTCTCTCTCTCTACCCTCCATCCCACTCTGTCTGAAAATAAATGGAAAAATATCCTCAGGTGAGGATTTAGGGAAAAAACAATGAAATAAAAAATATCTAACTAGGATTAGAAAAACTTGGTTGCAAACAACACAAATTCACACAGCTGGAAACTGATGCTTTGAAATCTACCAACAGTATCTTTAGAACGCTTAACTTCAATGATATAATAAACTTTGTGCTGAGTTGAAACTGATGTACAGGTGCATCCTGACCCACATTTCTTAGTAAATAAGTTTCCAAATTGACAGTTATAGCATAGCCAAAGAGACATTTCCATGTGTGCATTCTTCCTTTCAGTAAATGGTTACAGAGAGCTTTCTACATAACAAGAACCAAAAAAACAGTTTTTAGTAGTAGAAAGCTAATTATACTAACCCAAAATGTCAAATGACCTTTCTTAATTCCATTTCATTTCATAAACTTCCACAAAGGGAAAAAAAAATCTGAAGCTAAAATCCACTTAAATATTCTAGCCAATAAAAAGCAAATTTGCTATATAAAAACTTTTCAAGCAGAGTTTATTTCTCCTCTCATCACTGTATATTAATAGTGATAGGGTATCCTCTGGTTTTTTGTTTTTTTTTTAACAAGAAAATCCCTATTTCTATAAAGTTCACCTCCTCACTTTTTTTTTTTTTTTTTAACTTAAACACAGTCTCCCTTCTCTGTACTGCCCTGTTATGAATGCTTGTGGGGAGCAAGGGTGGGAGAGAACCTGGGGGTTAGTGACGATTACAGTAGAGCAAAGGAAAAGGGACAGCATAACAGCAATAAGGAAGAAAATGAAAGTAAAATAGAAACAGGTTCTCCTCCTGATAAAAGCCAAAGCAGTTGTAAGAACTAGATAAAACTTCTCAGGACATAAAACCTGTATGGGTGAAATAATGACTCAGAATAATTAGAGAATATGCTTTGCAATTATTTTAAATGAGTATGCATTGTAAAAAATTACTTTAAATAAATTGATTTCTTGGGGTTTAACTTCTTTCACCTATACTATCAAATTTTACTTACTGCTGTACTCATCCCTTTGCTTTAGATATAGCAGCAAAATACATAAAAGATTACTAGAACAGATCAGAATACAACAGAACATGATCTCTTGCTCTCGAGGGTCTTATTTCCTATTTTGTGGATAATTTGGTTCCTATATTTCCTCTAGATGTTTCTACCTACTAACCACCTCATTGCTCACTAATGAGTTAGAGAACGTGGACAATATGATATTCCTATTCACTTACTACAGTCAGTATTACTGTAGCGATCGAATCAAAGCTGATTCGAGTTTTATGTTAGCCTCTCAATTCTGATAATTCTAGTCAAACTGTTGTCTGAAACATTATTACACTTTTTAAATTGTTAAAATGAAACTCCGAAATCATTTATTTCAACTATTCTTGTTTTAATTAAGAAATCAGAGAACTAGTTAGTGCAAAGACAGCATCAACTCATGTTTTGTAACTCCTAGACCAGTATTTGTTCAACAAAATAATGCTGCTTTCCATAATTGCTCCTTTTTCAATATGAAGTTTCTATTATCTAGTCAGCCTGTGAAAGCTGATAAACTAAAAGAGCAGCCAGCTTGCCCAGCTGGTGTGGCTCAGTGTTGGACTGTCGACCCATGTACAAAAGGTCACCTGTTCGATGCCTGGTTAGGGCACATGCCCAGGTTGTGGGCCAAATCCCCAGTGGGGGGAAGGCAGGAGGCAGCCAATCAATGCTCTCTCTCATCAATGTTTCTATTTCTCTTTCCCTCTCCCTTCCTCTCTCTCTAAGATCAATTTAAAAAAATTAAAAAAAAAAAAAAAATAGCCAAAAAAACAGAAAAATCCCAAGTCTCAGGTCAAACACATAAACCACTGCTTCACTGTCGATCCAACATTTTTTCTGAAATTCTCCTAACTGCCAAAACTTTTTCATTTCTTGTCCATCACTGTGATTAATGTTTCAGTGATATAGTGTCCTATATGTTACGTAAAACATGAAACCAATTATAGTAAGCAAATATGGAGTGTACATTGCATCAGAAACTAATTTAAGCCCTCTACACATCTCAATCCTTAACTTTGAATAACATAATACTGTAATCCCCATTTTAAAGGTGTAAAAATCAAAGACTCAGAAGTTAAATAATTCACCCTAATTCACACAGCTAATAAGTAGAACTGGGATAAGTAATCAGACAGTCTGACCCTAATGTCCATATTCCCAATCTCCATATATAATAATGTATAATAACTACGTGAATTGTATTATTAATGTGCAGATAACTCAGACTTTGAGGTCTGCAGAAAAATTTAAAGACTATTTGTATTAGAACAGGTTTGTTACAAATTAAAATAGCTTAGTCAGAGAAAGTAAGTACCACATGATCTCACTTATTGGTGGAACATACGTAATGAACGAAATAAGCTGTCGACCAAAAGAAATTCAGAATCATGGAAGTAGGGAACACACTGACAAAGCTCAGAGGGCTGGAGGGGGTGGGGATAAATGAAAGACCTTATATACAACCAATAGACTGGGACACTAGGCTGGGGAAGGCAGGAGAGGGGGTGGGAACGGGAAGGAGGGGTCAATGGGGAAAAAAGGGAGACATCTGTAATACTTTCAACAATAAAAAAAAATTATAATAGCTTAATATGGCTTATTTCCATAAACTATATCTTCTTTGCAAAGACATGGCTCAAGAACCTTTATTTCATTCATATATAATTACTACTCAATATGAAAGAAAGTGGGGGGAGGGTATTACAATCATACTTTAACAAATGTCCAGATGAGCATGGTCCAGAAGAACTTTTTGCAGGGATAGAAATGTTTTGTCTGTGCTGTCATCATGGCAGCCACTAGCCAAGAGTGACTGGTATCAGAAATGTGTCTAAGGTGATTGAATAACTGAATTTTGACTATTTTGTAATTATAATTAAATTTAAATAGCCACAGATGGCTAATGACTACTATGTATTAGACAGCACAGGTAGAGAAGACAAAATGACAGAAAAAGATGAGTACAGACATTATCATTGCTCTTATTTAGAGAGTACAATAACAGTCAAATAAATTTAAAAGTCTTTTTACTTGCTCTAGCTTTAATTATTAACCCAAACAATATAAACCTCCTAAGATTTAAGACAAACTTTCTATAAATTCTTCTTTGTGTATCTCAATGGAAAAGATTATTAAAACCTATGTTGCCAAAAAAGCTTCACATATTAGAAACTTTTTACTCTTTAGATGACTAAGAAGACTCTGAATCTGAAAACTCTGTTGCCTATTAGAAAAAGTAAAAAAAAGTCACAAAAGTTTTCAATTCTTTTCATACACACTTAATAGTAGGTGCTTACCTTGATTCTCCACTACTGTTTCTAACACTTTCTTCATCACTATGTCCATTCATTGTAACTATCAACAAGTTTTAAAGTGGAATATAAATCTTCCCAGTTTAAAAGATGAATATAAATACTGTCTCCTCCTTGAATATCAGAAATTCAGATGAATTTTCTTCAACATTCACAGGTTTCCTGGGATCCTTTTTGATTCACCTAAAAAAAAAAAAAAAAATTAAGTAAGAAAATTTTCCTAGGAGAAAAAAATTAAAAAGTCTATTTAGAACTTAACAAATCTATCTGAGCCACTTAGATTGGAGTGGGTAATGAAGGGGTAGGGTTCTTTTATTCAAAACACCTAGGCTTCGTTCTATTAACTACATTCCTAACTCATAGAATTTAGCATACCATCACTTACTTTGACAGAAGAAATCAAAATATTTGTGGAGTGATAAAACTTTTACACTAATTGCAACTGTGTTGCAATATATATGTAAAAGATAACTGAAACAAAGTGGTAGTATACAACATATACACACACCCCAAGAACAGAAAATGGAATCTTATTAAATACTTGATCAAACAAACGAAGTTAAGGGGGAAAAGGTTACCTTTAAATGAGCACTAACGCCTATCACCTAAAACTTCATATACTCAAGTGAGGGAAAGTTTTGAAAATGCTCACATGAAAGCAAAATAAAAGGGTATCATATAATCGTAACAAAAATGTACAGGTCAAGATAAATATGTTCTTTCACACATAAACCGATAGTGGACTGAAAAACATTAAATAACATTTATCCAGTTTGGACTTGCAGAGATTCCATTTTTTTAAAAAAGGTAATAAAATATATACTATTAATTTTTTAAGTAAGGGGTTTGGAGCAAAATCATGGATCAAAACACAGCATTTCCACCTTTCAAGATATCAGCACAACACTAGAGAGTCACCTACAAGCCATCCACGAATAAACAAAGGAGATCTCTGGCAGGGGAGGGAGAGGAAGAAGCGGGGGAAGGAGACGTCAGATCCTTCCCCAGCCTGAAAGTACCGAGACAGCCGACTGAGAGCTGTCCTCCGACCTCGGCAAATAGAATTCCCTCCTACGATTATTTCCACTCCACAAAATAAAATAAAGGGGGGGGGGTAGGCCGTTGCCAATTCAATCATAGCAAACTGTGCACCTAGATCAGTATTGTAATTCTCCAGAGACTACACAGAACAGACTACCAGTTTACAGTCCGTAAACTCTGCAAGAACTTGGTTATCCAAAAAGTAACTGTTCCCCGAAATATGTATTCCTGATGTTAAATATTCATTCCAGCTAGTCAAAAAGCGTTACTATTAAAGTCGTCTTAAAAATCTAGGTACTCTAACAATCTGCCTCTTTCCCGAGAAGTATCGCTCTTCATAGAGAAAGTTCACTCCTCTTTCCGTTCTTTCCTTTTCACCTTCCTTTCGCCCCTCAAAATGGCTTTCTTTGTACACTGAAACTTCCTTTTCTCCCTTCATCTTCCTTCTCCGAGTAAGTCCTCTTTCTGAGACCCTTCTCACAACCCTAAGTTCTGAAGCTCCAAGTGCACGCAGCGCTCTCCGGCCTTTCAAGCGTCTTAACAATGACTCTTCCCCGAGTCGTTAAACCTCTTCAATCTTCTTCTGTGCCTGGTCTTTTAACAGTTGATTTGCTTCTAGCTAAGTTTTCGAAGCAGTACTCTATAGGAGATTGGAAACCTTCCTCCTCCCTCTTCTCTCCAGCGCAGCTTCGCTATCAGACTCCCACCGCAGCGCACCCACCCCACTGCCCGCCCCCGCCCCCGCCCGCGGGCCTCCCAAGGCCTCCACCACCGTCCCGGAGTCTCTCTTCCCGCCTCAAACTTCCCGCAGACCCGCCCCGCGCCCTCCCAGGCTCGCCCCGGCCGCCGCCCCCTCCCCCTCCCCGCCGCTCCCCACGTGCAGGGAGCCCGGGTCGCGGTGGGACCGACGCACCAGCCATAAGCTCGCTCCTTGAGCCTCGCAGCTCTCCGCCCGCGACCCCGCCAACCCCATGCCAAGGAGGCCCGAGATCGACCAGCTGCCTGCCAGTCCACCGCGAGGATGCGCTCCGAGCCACCGGCCTGCGCTCGCCACTCACACGCCCCCTGCGCGCCGAGCCCGTCGGCCGCCAGCCCTCGCTGAGCCGCCCGGCCTTCGCCCGGCGTCCGGCCGCTGGGCCGCCGCCCGGGCACCGCGCCGCCTCCGCCCTCCGCCTGGCCGGTTCCCGTCCTCCTCGCCACATCCTGACCCGCCCGCCGCCCCCTTTCTTACCGGCTGATATGCAGGATTCGCGGGGCGGAGGGAAACGACCCGGATCCTCGGTCTCCCCCGCGCCCGGGCCCGCGGTCTCTTCAGCCGAGTGAGTCCTCAAGCTCCGGGCGTCTGGGAGTAAGCAGGAGTCCGTGAAGGGAAGGGGGAAGGGGAAGGACGCGAAGGGGAAGGGGAAGCCCCGGCCCAGCGGCACCAATGCGCGATCCCCTACGGAGCGGATCCAACAATCAATTCATTATTGAAGCACCAACGGCGAGGGCAGCAAGAGCGAGAAGTAATCAGCCGTCGTCGTCGCCGCCGCGGCCACGCGCGCGCTCCCGCTGCCGCTGCTTATCGGCTACCAGCAGCCGCCATGACGCCGAGAGAGCGAGAGCGCAACCGTCTCGGTGGTAGCCGCCTCCGCCACCGCCGCCACCGAAGTCGCGGTCGCCTCCGCCTCCCGCGCGACGTAAGCTCCTCGGCTCACTCCCCTTCCCCACTCCGCGCGAGGCAAGCTGGCGGGCGAGCGGGCGGGCGCGAGCACGCCGAACCCCTCCGAGTGGCGCGCGGGCGGTGGGAGGAGCTACGTTGTGGAGTCGTAGGGCGTAGAAAGAAAGCGATTGGTACTGAGTCCGGGCGGCGTGCGAGTGCGCGCACGCGCGCTGGTGGTAGCGCGCACGCCGACTGCGCGGAGGCCTCCGGACTCTGACCACGGCCGTGGGCCGCAGATTCTCGCTGGGGCGCCCTCCCTTTGCGGCCTTGAGTTGAGTTCCGGGAAGTGGGAGCTGCAGGCTCGCTCCGTGCGGGTATGGACGCTGTTCGGAACAGTTGCGCAAGGATGTCGAGGCTGAGAGACTGAGGAGGAACGAGGAAGCAAAGAGGGTGGGGAGATGCAGAAGACTATGATGGGGTTCGGGTAGCCGCAAAAGGTTCACACTGGATAAGTCGAGGGGCTGGTCGTGTGTGGGGTCCGGTAGCCCAGGCCGCTGGCCCGGTCTGAATGCCTACCGGGTGGGGTGGGGAGGGGGCTGCTGCGTCACACCAGGCAGCCTGGGAACCCAACTGTTGGGCAACTGTGGTCACCTCCCTCCTCCTGCTAACGCTTAGGCGACCTGCAACTGAGGCTCCCTCAGGGGCCTAATGCAGCGTGTGGGCGGGGCAGCACCTGAGATGACGGAGAGAAAATAGAGACCGAGTTGTTGACATCCTGTGCCGCTTCTTGATTGATTTGTGGGCAGCCGAAGCCTGGTTTAGAAAAAAACAAAAAACTTTTACAACCTTTCTAGGTTCCTTCCCTGGAGGGCAGGGTGGAGGGTGCGGTTCAGAATCGCAACAAAAAAAAAGCAATTTGAAGGTCGGTAGTAACTGTCTCAATTTAACGTGCTGCAATTTAGTTGACGGTTTCTTTCATAACTGTAACTGCGGGGCTCAGATACAATCCTTTAGATCTGTCGAAGGAAACACTACCTTTCAAGCACGGTGCTGTCCTGATTAACTCTTTGAAAGCATTTTTTTTTAATAAAAATTTTTTACACTTTGTTATTTTTCTGGTCCACATCAATCTTGAATCACTCGAATACTTTTTGAAACTTTGTAATTCCATTATTTAGTTGTTTGATTTGCTGTAAAAGCCCACCTTCCAAATCAGGTGAGTTTAAATGTGGTAACTGCATTTCCAAAGTAATTCTTTTAACGTGTTGGAAAGAGTCAAGTGTTATAAACAGTTTGGTTCAAAGTCTTCAGAAATATCTCAAAACATAACTCCAAATATTCATTATATGAAAGGTATCTTCATACTTGGGGTGAAGGGAAAGGCAAACAGGTGCACATGTTCTATTCAAAATAATGTATTTCTGATCAGTAAATAGTGAAACAAAATGAAACACTACTATACTTTGCAAAATGATCTATGCTCAGCCTCCTCCCCCCACCCCCTTTTCCCTAGTTAACAAATAGCTATAATGCTAGGTTCTGAGGAGGAACTCCATCTTTAAAAGTAGGAACAGTGCTAATTTTTAATATGTTTTTAAAGTATGATAAAGGTGCCTTAATGATAGCAACTTCCTGTACCTCCTACTGATTTCTTTCTCAGATTACTAGAGTGGTAAGTTTTTTTAAAAGCTCCTAAAAAGCAGAAGCCATGGCAGATGAATTTTGTAATCAGATGTATTAATAAGATAAAATCTTCAAATATGACTGCTACATTTTTATCATTACTGTATGGACATAATCTGTTTTCTGAAAGCATGTCAAAACTTTTTGAACTGATTTGCCATTTGGATGTGATATGCTGCATATATACATATGTGGTGGATGGAGATTTATTTATCTGGTAAAACCCTAATATACTTTATGACTCCAGAATTTTTTTTTTATTTTTTTCCTTGTTATTGAATTTTTTGGGTTGACACTGGCACGGAATTTTGGGGTGACTGACAATGTGGAGAAATACAAGGTAAGTGAAAAATTGCAACAACTTGTTAACCATTTGTTCTCTGCACATTAAATTCTCAGTTTCACTTTGCTTGAATAAGCTTTATCAACCTGTTGATACTAAAAACAATTAGAAAGCTGTTGATAATCTAAACACATGACTTTTAAAAAAATCCCTGAAAATTAACATCAATCAGGAAGTCTTTATTACTATCTGATTTTCTATTTGAGAAATTTTATATTCTTTAAAAAGAGTATTACTTTTACAGAATCTAGGACAGCATTTCGTGGGTCTTGAATTCTGGTATGCTCTACTAGGACTAGTTACCATTGGGTAGGTACCTTTAGGTTGAGGTAGATTGAGAACTGCCTATCCATAATTGTGAGGTTTGTAACATAAAGACAATGATAATTCTGCTTTTTGGTTAATGTTGGGATGCCAAGATAGGATTTTAATTTCATAATTATGTTCTTGTGGCCTAGAGAATTTTGCGTATGAGAAACTGCTAAAACAATCAGTATTAAAATACCCTAGAATCTCGACCTACAACATCATCCCCTACATCCTTGCCAAGCAGGGGAAGAGCTTTCCAAATATGATACTTAAATGTAAAAAGTCCTCTGCCCAGCTGGTGTGGTTCAGTTGGTTGTACTTCCTCTCATGAATCTGGAGGTCACTGGTTTGATTCTAGGTCAGGGCACATGCTGAGGTTGCTGGCCTGATCCCCAGTAGGGAGCATGCAGGGTGTAGCCGATCCATTGATCAATGTTTCTTTCTTATTGATGCTTCTATCTCTCTCCCTTCCTCTCTGAAGTCAGTAATAACATATCTTCTTAAATGTACAAAGCCCTCTATAAATAAAACTCATAAAATTCCAAGTCACCTTAGAGTGAAAATTAAATTTTTTTATCATAAAAAATTTTTTTTTGTTAATCTTCAGCTGAGGATATTTTTCCATTTGATTTTTTTGACAGAGTGGAAGGGAGGGAAGGAGGGAGAAAGAGAGAAACATCAGTTTGAGAGAGAGACATCAATTGGTTGCCTCCCATCGAACCGAGACTGGAGCTGGGATCAAACCTGCAACCCAGGTATGTGCCCTTGACTGGGTATTGAACCCAAGACCCTTTGGTCCTTAGGGGGATGCTCTAACCACAGAGCTAAATTGGCCAGGGCATTAATCATAAAACTTATAGGAGCTTTGGTTCTCATTGTGGGGCAGGGGGCAGGAGTTAGTCATCTAGGAAATTTTTCCTAACTACACATGCCTGACACCCCCATTTCTCCCCTTTTGATATGCAGAATTTATAGGTTCTGGGTAGTGTATGAAAAAATTTTCTAGGTTGTTCTGATATCCACCAACAGCTCATCTACCTTGTTTATGGCCACTGTGTGAATTTTTTACTGATAAATGAATCACCATAAATTAAATTCCAAATGGAAAGTTATTACAGATGACATAATAGAGGCAATTATGTGTAAAATCTAATAGATACTTAAATGGATACAAAGATTCTACTTTCTCTACTTACAAAATTAACTGCACACAGTAAGTTAAGTAGCTAAACTGAAAATACCAAATTGGTGCATCAGTGCTATATCATTCCTTCTTCAAATCCTTTATTTACTATCCATTTTACTTCATCTGTGTTGTCTTCAGCTTTTATTCTTAACCCCCACTACATTATTTAGACCTTATTTTCTCTACGTCTTTCCCTCCAGCTCACTTTGTAGGTTTCCTCCAGACTTGAAATCTGAAATCACTTCCCTGCTTTAGGTACATGTATTTAAATACACGTGCCAAAGCCCTGGCCAGTGTGGCTCAGTTGCTTGGGCATTGTCCTGTGCACCAAAAGGTTGCTGGTTCCATTCCTGGTCAGAGCCCATACCCCAGTAGGGGGCGTGCAGGAGGCAGTCAGTTGATGTCTTACACTGATGTTTCTCTCCCTCTCCTTCCCTCCCTCTCTCTCAAAAAATAAGTAATAGTGATTATTAATGGGGTGGAGGGATTTTTTTTTCCCCCAGAAGGAACACTTGGCAAAATCTGGATCAATTTTGGTTGTCACAACAAAGGTGGGGGGCAGGGGGTGCTGGTAATATATAGGGGTAAAGACCAGGGATACTGCTAAAGATCCTATAATCCATTGGACAGACCCTCCCAACTCCCCAACCCCCAACAACTGTTATTCTGGTCCAGAATAACAATAGTGCCATTGTTGAGAGATCCTACTATCAAGGATGGCAAGCTAGGTAGCATTTTTTAGTGAAATCTTAATGGGTGGGGGTTGTGGTTTGGTAAGGGTGCTAATGAATGAAGATCTACTCTACCTAACTACTTAGCCTTGCTTAAAACCAGCAACAAAAGAGCCAGTACATTTGCTGAACTAATAAATGTGACTATCACAATAGACTACATTATTTTCTTTGTTTTAAAAAAAAAAAAAAATTGTAGTGCAACTGAAACTCTTATTGCTAGTAGGGGTGTAAATTGGTTACAGCAACTTTGGAAAATTGATAGGCAGTATCCATTATAGCTGAACGTATATCCATCAGATAATTTCTCTCCTGATTGTATATCTAAGAGTTTGGCTTCAAACTGGAACAAAGTGAAGTATATTTATACAATGGAATGCTAGCCAACAATGAAAAAGAATAAACTGCTACACAATGACATGGGTGGCT